CGGAAAAAAAAAAAAAAAAAAAAAAAAAAAAAAAAAAAAAATTAGCTAAATCATTGTTTAATGCAGAAGCTATATATGATAGGCCACTGTTTGAAGTACAAGAAGCAGAAGGCATGGGCACTAACCTTGAGAGCTTGCTGAGGTTGACTGACATCAACAACAAAGAAGAGTACGTGAGTATGAGCTAATGAATGGCCAGTCACCAGGTAATCTGAGGCTGTCATGAAAGGAGGGGGAGCTGAAATGAACTCTGTGGGCTGGAGCATGCAGTGAAGCTTTGTGGAATAAGTAGGAAGCCTCAGATGGACATGGAGATGGAGAAAGGCCATGATGACAATAGGATGCGGGACAGGAATGGACAAAGAAAATAATTGCTTATTTATCAGGTCCTTAGATTTGGAAGGGATGTAGCTGGATGGGAGGAACCCTGCTTGCAGGTAGGTACTAGAGTTTGACATTAATGGCAAGGAGGCAGTTCCGAATGCTTTTAAGTGTGAAGAAACAGCAAGGGCTAGGAGAAGGGAGGCTACTGGGAGACATGTTTTTGTGTGCTGGGCATTATTCTAACTTGTCAGATGAAATGTTCCTACTGAAACACAAAGCACTGAATTCTCCCGGGTTATACATTTGCTGTACTCAACAGCTCATATTAATCATCACCACCTCCACACCATCAACAGATGGTTTCCTCTGTCCGGGGCCATTCACATCACTTCTCATCCTTAACACCACCTTGCACGCTGGATATTATTATCTCCATTTCACAAATGAGGACACTGAAGATCAGAGAGGCTGAGTAATTTTCACAAGATCACACACATTTATGGAGAATATGAATTCTGAAGTCATTATTCTCTCCTTCTTAGTGTCTCTGATTGAAATAAACAGGCTGGGGCATCATCAAAAGGAAGGGCAATACTTACACTGCACACGTGGATGTGACTGCAGGAACCAGAACTGACAGGCAGTTTATTTTGGTAGGATGATTATTAGCACTTAACATCCACCTGCAGAAACAGTGCACAGGCTATTTTATGGACCCCTCTATCAAACGAATATCAGTGTATCAGGGAAGCTCCTGTAAGAACTGAAAACTTTTTTTTCATTTTTCAGAAAGAAAGTGGTTGACATGTGTCTGGCATTATGTGTGACACATATATGGCCGAAATTGAAATGGTATTAGGCTAAGAAATTGTAAGGGGCACAGGCACAGGAATCGGCTATGAAGGGCAAATTACAATTTCTCAAGATATGAATGCCGGATGCAAAAGTTTTATTGAAAGGAAGAGCAATTACTCAAATGAGTTGAAAACGTATGTCTACCAAAAAAACCTGCACAGAAATGTTTACAGCATCTTTATTCACAGCTGTCAGAACTTGGAAGCAACCAAGACATTCTTCAATAGATGAATGGATAAATAAATATAATATTTTGTTGTATGGTATATTCATACAATAAAATACCATGTTATTTCTCTCATCATAGACAAGTTTTGTCTGTTCTTGAACTTTATATAAATACAATCATATGGTATGTTCAATCGTATGATATGTCCATACAATGGAACATTATTCAGGAATAAAAAGAAATAAGCCATCAACCCATAAAAAGACATGGAGGAGCTGTAAATGTGTCTAGCTCAGTGAAAGAAGCCAATTTGAAAGGCTACATAGTATATAAATCCATCTGTATCACATTCTGTAAAAGGCAAAACTATGGAGACAGTAAAAAGACCTGTGTGGTTGCCAGAGTTTCGGGGGGGAGGGAGGAAGGATGAATAGATGTAGCAAAAGGAATTTTTAGGGTGGTGAAACCATTATGTATAATATTGTAATTGTGGATACATGTCATTAAACATTCATCACGACCCAGAATGTACAGATGACAAGAGTGAACCCTGATGTTAACTATGGACTTTAGTTAATAACAATGCATCATTTTGGCTCATCAGTTGTAACAAATGTACCATGCAAATGCAAGATGTTAATAATAGGGGAAATTGGGGATGGGGCAGGTAAATAGGTATATGCGAATTCTTTTTACTTTCTGCTCAATTTTTCTGTAAACTTAACACTGCTCTAAAAAGAATAGTCTGTTAATTATGAAAAAAGGGAAGGAGTTACTAACCAATTTAAATTTCACAGATTAGAGAATGCCATATTCCTACCTAATGAAAATTTTTAAAGCACTTGGTAGACAAGAAGTCAAAGAAGAATCCTGCCTATGTTTTACTTTTTTAGTAAGTCTACCTTAGCTGCCTAGAAAGGTTCCTTAGACCAAGAGGAAGAAACAAGCCTCCAGAAACTGGGCATCTACAAAGGAGGGTATAAAAGTCTATAATACATAATTTATAATTCTATAAACCACCAAAATTTAAATCTAAAAAATAAACCACTTATTTCAAACTGCATTTCATTTATTTCCATAATCTCAGCATGCCTTCTTCATCATTCTCCAAGGTATTTTAACTTCTAAAAATGTCAGGGTTTAGAGAAAGAACTCTGGCTTTTCTATCACTCGCAATACAGTCTTTCACCCGAACTTCAATTCTGCTGAATCTATAGG